CCCTGCGGGGACAAGGACGGCAGGGAGGGTGAGGGGGGGCACCGGCACCCCGGCACCCACGGGGGCCCCCCGGGACCCCAGCCCCACCTGGAGGCCTGCAAGGCAGAGGCCTGGAGGTCCAGCATGACGTGCAAGAAGTAGTAGCTGAGGAAGATGCGGCGCTGGAGCAGGAGGAAGAAGAAGCAGATGCTGTCCCAGATGATGCCCGCCTCCTCCACGGGCAGCAAGCAGTCCTGGTCCTTGCCCATCTCCTTGGCTGGCAGGCAGAGATGCGGGCAGGTCAGGCAGCAGCCCAAACCTCCACCGTCAGTAGCCCAAACCTCCACCTTCAGTAGCCCAAGGCCAGCAACTCACGGTCGTAGTAGCCCTTGACGGTGCAGACCAGGCTGAAGAGCTGGATCACCCAGCAGAAGTTGCTCTGCATCTGCTGCACGAAGACGCAGGAGAGGAGCTGTGGGGAGAGAGGGCAGAGCACAGGGTTTGTCCGGGGACAGCGCGAGGGGGACAGCGCTGCCACCCGTCCCCTCCCCAGGGGATGGATGCCCAGGGGGTGGGTGGCCCCAGGAAGCAGCCCAGGGCCCGTTGCGGGGCCGGTGCCTAGCAGCCCTCACCGACAGCATGTTTTTGGAGATGATGACGGTGACGTTGTAGAGGATGAGGCAGTCCCAGAGCACGAGGCGTGCCCGCGCCGGCTTGCGCAGCATGGCAGTGCCGAAGAGGAGGAGGTAGAAGCAGGCCAGCAGGTAGCCGAGGCCGAAGAGGCTGATGCGGGTGGCCCCGGTGATGAAGACCACCACGAGGACAAACCAGAAGAGGGAGCGGAAGACCACCACCTTCGCCATGTCCAGGTATGACCTGCGGGATGGGGCGCTCAGAGCAGGGTCCCCATCCCCTCCCAGCACCCACGCTTGGCACCACCGGGGTTTGGGGTGCAGCGAGGTGCTACCCCACATCCCAGCCAAACCAGCACAGTCCCAGTCCCTGCATCAGCCCTATCTTGGGGGGCAAAGTGCCTTCTCCCAGTCTATAGGGTCCCAGTGCCCACGGGGGTCCTGCATCATCACCAGGGCTGTCCTGGACCACCACATCTCCCCCAGGGATCCCAGCACAGCCTCAGGGTACTCCTGTCCCAGGCATGGGGGTATCACCTTTTCCAGCTGGGGATGGGGGGGGTCCTGTCCCAGCCCAGTGGGGGTGGGAGGGCAGGCTTCCCTGGCCCAAAGGTTCCCAGAGCTGGTGGGGTCCCATCCCCACCCTAGAGAATCCCAACCCAGCAGGTCCCATCCTCTCCATATCCCAAGGGGACTCATCCCAGTGGGGGGGTGTGTGTGCGCGCCCCATCCCAGTGTGTGAGTGTGGGGGTCCCATCCCAGCAGGGTCCCATCCCAGTGTGTGTGTGTGAGGGTCATCCCATCCCAGGGGGATTGTGTCCCATCCAGAGTCCAGAGCAGCCCCAGCTCACGGGGAGGAGGTCCCAGTCCAGGTGGGTCCCATCCCAGGGAAAGGGGGCCCCATCCCAGGGGGGAAGGGGTGTATGATCCCATCCCAGCAGGGAGGATCCCTCCCATCCCAGGGGTTTGTGTCCTGTCCAGAGCAGCCCCAGCTCACGGGGAGGAGGTCCCATCCTGGGGTAAGGGGGTGGGTGTGTGGTCCCATCCCAGCAGGGGAGATCCCTCCCATCCCAGGGGGATTGTGTCCCATCCAGAGTCCAGAGCAGCCCCAGCTCATGGGGAGGAGGTCCCATCCTGGGGCAAGGGGGTCCCATCCTGGGGTAAGGGGGTGGGTGTGTGGTCCCATCCCAGCAGGGGGGATCCCTCCCATCCCAGGGGGATTGTGTCCCATCCAGAGTCCAGAGCAGCCCCAGCTCATGGGGAGGAGGTCCCATCC